GATGGTGACAAATCGTCTTGGCATCTGAAGAGTTAGCAAAATCATATGGTAGCAGAGTGGGGTCCTAGCAGGTGATATTAGCATGACATTTGTTCAGACATATATATATAAAAATATGCACACCCTTGGGTAGGGCTTGCCCTCTGAGTGATAGTCCCGTCTCCACCATGTTCTTTATATTTAGTTCTGTTTTCCCTGTGTACTTGATGGATGCTTCAAGGTGTTCCAGTTTGCAGGCTTGGCTGCAGGGCACATAGATCCTATGTTCCTGTAATCTTAGAGAATGCTCTTGGAGCTTGGGGATGTTCATGACAAAGAAAGTCCTTCTCTTAGAGCCCCTGGAGGGCTCTTGGGCCCAGAGCTGCCTTTGGAAGGTTGGATTTGTCTCCAAGGCTCTAAAGTCAGTCCTTGGGACAAAGTCTCCTTCACAATGTGGACATCTTTTCAGTGCACCAAACAAGCGGCAAGGAGAGAAAAGCACTAAACAAGCAGAGAGGAGAGAAGCTGAGAAGCGTGCAGTATCCGCACTCTGGATGCTGTGCTCACAGACCCCCAGTGCTGGTCTTCTCTTTGACACAGATGTCCTGTTAATTTGAAAGCCACTTTCTATAGGAGCCCATGCACAGTACCATGCTTTTCTTTCTCTTTCTTCCTTTTCTCATTAGTTCCTAGGAGGGAAGTAGGGGAGTGGAGAGGGAAAGAAAAATGGGAAGATCTATCTGCTTGAAAGAAGAAAGGGAGGGAAAAAAGGAGGGTGGGAAGGAGAGGGAAGAGAGAAAAGGAAAGGAAAACAGCCCATCTGCTTCTTTGCCCTGAGATATAAATTCCACCTCCTGGATGCGTTGGACCCAGTTTTCCGAGAAAAGGCTTAAATTTATTAATTTGGTTCACAGTGTTCTCACAGGAAACTTTATTTGGTGGCCTGGAGCCATGTGGGATTGGGTTATTTTAAGATAAGTAATGTAAGAGAATCAGCATTGCATGCTTGGCAGAAACATGGCTGTGCCTATTGCTTAGAGAATTATCACATGTGATTTAAAAGCTTGGCTCATTGTGGTGGGGGGACGCCAGGGGTAAGGTGAAGTTCAAATCTGTGTCTCCTCATTTGTGCGCTGTGGGACAATGCCTTTGTATCAGAGATGCATCTGATGGGTGCTGCTTGGAGCTGTGATGCCCCAGAGCAGCCCCTGTCCCTGGGATCATGCCTCTCTGTTAGGACCTGTTACAAAGAGCGGGAAGCAAAAGGCACAGCGAGACTCGCATGAGGTCTGACAATAAGCTGGTACCTGTAATATTCATTTCGGCACCTATAATATTCACATTTCCTGTGTGTTACCTCTAAAAAGGAGAAATAAAACTGAGAAGGGCCTCTTACATCTGAAACAAATATCATACTTTCAACACTTGACTTAGATCACATCTGTGATTATCCACTTATGTGGGTATCTACCTATACTATTGAATACAGGAGTGTATATACACCAAAAGGCAGCTTAGCATAATGCGCTGCAGAACACTGACTCCCAAATTTTTAGGTTTTATGAACCAGAAATACAGAAAATAAAAGAAATTGGGGAATCCAGCATGTACTGTCAACTTATGTTTAACAAACAATAATAATAATATGATGATGATTATTATAATGTATTATTATATGATTATGGTTATTATTATTTTTTTTTTTGAGACACGGTTTTTATGTGTTGCCCTGGTCATCCTGGAACTCACTCTGTAGATCAGGCTGGCCTTGACCTCAGAGATCTGTGCTCCTCTGCCTCCGAAGTGCTGGGATTAAAGGCATACACCACCACCGCCTGACATACCAAAATTATTTTTAATTAAACATTATTTTATGGGTATAGGTGTTTTGCCTGAATGTATCTCTGTATGCCTGGTGCCCCCAGAGGCCAGAAGAGGTTGTGGGGTGCCTGGTAGTGGAGCTTCCATGTGGGTGCTGGGAACGGAACAGGGTCTTCTACAAGATCAATTAGTGCTGTTAACTACTGAGCCATTTCTCCAGCCCCTGAAATTATTGTAAAATTTTAGCAAAATACACATATAATTTGCTATCTTAACTATTTTTTAGTGTATATTTCTGTAGCACCAGGTATATTTACAAGCTAAGATGATTTTTTTTTTTTTTAAAGAAAAGAGTAAGACAGAGAGACTCATGCCTGACCTCCTGGTATCAAAAAAGAAAGAGATTTTCAACACCAAGAGAGAAATGAAACACATTCTTAGTGTAAAAAGCCCTTCCTCGTCTGTGGCAGCATGTATAAAGAAAATATGGAGCATAATGCTGCAGTGAAATGCAGCAAACGTTCATGTTGCCACTTCCTCAAGTTGAAAAATGCTAAGATGGTGTCACCTTTTCTTTTGGTCGTTCCTGTTTAAAGGGCTGGAACATGAGCTGTTTGTTACCAGGCCACGGTCAGACAGTGAGCGTCTGCAGCATGAAGTCAGCCACACACCTAGAACCCGGTGGAGGAGGCGTCCTTTCACTGGCTGGCTGTCGATGAAGGAAGCTCTGTGCTGACATACACTCTGCCATCTGTGCTCCAACTGTCCTGTGCAAATAGCTCATGGCCTGGCCCTAGTCAGAAGCCAAACTCTAGGTCTGGTTTTGTTCTTAAAAAAGTGAAAGTTGACAGTTATAGTTGAAGCCTGGGTCTCTTCATTCCACCATGTTTCCCTCTCCTCTCCACTGCACTGGAGCTAGAGTCTGCCTTCCCACCCATTTTCGTGTATAGTGGGTAAATTCATCACAGTGTGCAGTGTGAGCTCATCATGGCCTGCAGTGTGCGAGCTCATCACAGCTTGCAATGTGTGAGCTCATCACAGTGTGCAGTGTATGACCTAATCATGGTGTGTAGTGTATGAACTCATCATGTAGTATAAGAGCTCATCATGGTGTGTAGTTCTGTCTCTAAAACTTTATTTTTGCACAACATGATTTTAAAGTCTCTTCTATTTTTATACTTGCAAATTTATCTGTCCTACAGTATTACTTCTTGTGACTTTAGCATGTTGTATTTATCTGTCTTATTAATGGGTATTTGCGTTGTTTCTAGGTTGGGTTTTTTTTTTGTTTTGTTTTGTTTTTTTTTGCTAAGATAACACTACACATTCTTACAAGCCTTCCTGTGTATATGGGGCGGAATCTTTTAAAAAAATAATATTTTTACTATTTTTTTTGAGAATTTCATGTATTTTATCATATTCATGCTCTTTCCCAAACCCTCCCAGATCCACCCCCATCTTCCTGCCCACCCAACTTTGTGCTGTTCTCTCTTTCTCAAAACCATTGTTCAGCTGGGTGCTAGTGGCGCACACCTTTAATCCCAGTACTCGGGAGGCAGAGGCAGGTGGATCTCTGAGTTTGAGGCCAGCCTGATCTATAGAAGGAGTTCCAGGATGGCCAGGGCTACACAGAGAAACCCTGTCTCAAAAACAAAACAAGACAAAACAACAAACAAACAAACAAACAAAATCTCAACCAACCAAAGCAAAACAAAACCATTGATTGATCCAGTTTGTCTCTACAAATGATCTTGGGTGTAGGGTCTGCCCTGGAGAATGGTTGACCTATTAAGGCTCATGCTCTTAAAGAAAATGAACTTTTCCTATCACAGCCAATAGCTCCTCAGCAAGGAGTGAGACGTCATGTGCCCCTCCCACTGTTCCATGCTGGGATTTTGTCTGGCTTGAGGTGACACAGGTCTTGTACATGCTGACACAACCACTTGGTTTATATGCCCACCTTCCCTGTTGTATCTGGAAACATCATTTCCTTGTAGTTATCCACCACCTCTGGCTCTTACAATCTTTCAGGGGTGGAATCTTGTAAGGGAAGTTCCCTGGATCAATGATGCAATTCAGCACAAAATCTAATTAGCATCTCAACCAGTCTGGTTATTTGCTATAACTTTTCAGGTTAATGGAAATTGGGAAGGATAATACTGTAAGCCAATCATCAATAAATTTGGTTTCTTGGACCAGATTGAAAGCTACTGATTGTTCATCAGTATAAGGTTGAGTTCAAAGTCTGTATATAAAAGTAGTGCTCTGGAAGGCTGTGTGCAGTGATTGCATCTTTGGACACGGGGCAGAGGCCAGCTGGGAGAGGCTAGCTCTTCATTGAATTTCTTTCCATGTGATGGAGAAAATGCCTGCAGAGTTGGTCTGGGAAGCAGATGGAGCTGGGTGTTTCTGTCTCTCAGGGTTTGGTACAGATGCCTTTCTTGGTCCAAGAAAATCTCGTGAACCAAAACTTGGCTAGTATTCTCTACAAGCCTTTTTTGGAGTGGCTGTACTGTTGCTCAGAGTGTGAGATGACCTAAGTTTCTTCTGACTGTCTAGTCTGTGGTTACTTTGAAACTGTTGGGGAGATATCAAGGGAGGAGATGGGTCCAGGTCACATCAGATCATGTGTCCCACCCCGAAAGTTGGAGGATGCTCCAGTGACTGGTGGCCCATCTGTGACTACTATTAGCATAGTAGGAGCACATGGCTTGGATGAGTCAGGCTTCAGGCTCAAGAATGTAACCGAGACAGTGTATTTTATTCCACAGTCTTCTTTGTTACCTTCAGCAAACAGTGGAATGCTTTGAACACTCTTTAAAAAATACTAAATGGGAAGGCAATGGTGAGAAAAGCTCCAATGCCATCAAAGAAAATGGTAACAAGAGGGAAAAAAAAGCCTTTGTCATTTAAGGAGTTCTTCTGAGCCGGTGTAAGAAGCCTGGTACATGGCTATCTTCACATCCCCCATGCTGGGTGATGAGAAGTCAGAGCGGCATTAGGCAGGAGGCAGGTAGAGAATCTGTGCTAAGGATTCAGGTGCTGTTTGATCAGTGTTGTTCATAGTTGGATCTCTGAGCAATTGGGATAAACCAGGCATCAGGCAGGGGCATTGCCTGTGCGTTCCATATGGGAAGTTCTCATGCATTGGCTACCTAGTCGCATCTTCACCAATTCAAAATATTTTCTTTTTTAATCAGCTGTCAAAGCTGGAGAAGCAGCAGCAGAGAAAAGAAAAGACCAGAGCCAAGGGGCCTTCCGAGTCGAGCAAAGAACGAAATGTACCCCGAAAAGAGGACCGCAGCGCCAGCAGCGGGGCAGAGGGCGATGTGTCTTCGGAGCGGGAGCCATAGATGCAGGAGCAGGAGCTCAGGTAGGAGGTTTCCACCTGCACAGCTTTGTTCCCCACATTGTAGGGGACCAGAAATGAATTAAGGTGCGATGGCTGCCAAGGTAGCATCCATCTTTGAACATTCATTCCTGGCATTCTTGAGCGCGCTACTTTGCAGCTCGGTGAAGGTCACTGCTGTAAGATTGTGTTGTAGTCATCAAAATGTGTACAGCCGGCTACATGCAGGCTGAGGGATGCACCCAGTGGATGGCGTGTGTCCCTCCTGCATAGTTTGTGCCAGCCACACTGCCTGGGCCTGACTGGCATCTGTGTGCTCTCCTGCTGTCAGGCCCCACCTCTCTCTTACCCTCCCACCCTGTCCACTATTGCTACTCTTACTCTCGGTAAGTCCAGTGGTCAGTGTCCTCTGAAGTAGTCTTTTCTCACCATTGCCTGGTTTGTGTTTTACCATCATTCCTTTCATATTGCATGACATTGTCATTTGTTTATTATATCAAGAGAGTGTCTTGCTATGTACTATTGATTGGCTTCAAACTCAGCTCTGCAGCTTGGGCTGTTTTCATACTCACAGCATTATTTCTGCCTCTGTCCCCCAAGCACTGAGGCTCCAGGGATGTACCGTCATGCCCATTGGATGTTCTTCACTATTTCCATGCCTAAGGCTGTGTTGACTTGACTGCAGCTTTAAATTCATCTTCCAGAGGCCCCAGTGGCCTCTGTCTCAGTTTCCTTGTCAGATATACTATCCAAGTCCCTTACTGAATGGACACTGGACCAAATATTGGAATACAGATGTGAGGGATCTATGGCCTGTCTTTACAAAGTTCACACATTCGAGAAGAAAATAGAAACAGTTGTGTCACAGCAAAATGCAGTATGGTATGGACAGAGCAGAGTATGGGGTAGAAAGGACTCTAGAAGTTGACTTTGAAGGACACATGGTACTGGGGAGGTGAAGGATAAGAGCAGGGAATAGCCACCAAGGCAAGAGGGATAAGTGTGTGTTAGTTTTGGTCACTATAACTAACGGAAACATCTGCTTTTGGAAAGACTTGTTTTAGCTCACAGTTGTGGAAGTTTCAGCCAATGATTTCTTGACCCTGTTGATTTTTGAGCATTTGGCAAGGCCATATATAGTGGTAGGCACATATAGTGATGCAAGCTGCTCACCTCATGGCCAGGAAGCACAAAGAGGAGAGAGGGGAGGAAGAGAAGGCTGGGATTCCATGGTCTTCTTTAGAAGCACACCGGGAACAGCCTGAAGACTTCCTACCAGGCCCCATGTTTGAAAAATTCCACTGCCTCCCAGTAGTGCCATGGTGCAGACAGACCATGCCCTGACTATGTGAGCCTTTGGAGGACACTCCAGATCCAAAATACAGCAAGATGCCAGCATTTTTTGTTGGTGGAGTGGAAATGACAAAATAGAGAGCTTTGTAAAAGAGGAAGTGAAGATTAACTGAAGGGTTGGGTACCAGTGGGGAGAGCAGAGAGCTTCTTGGAGTGTGGACTTCTTCCTACGGTAATGACAAACCTCTGAGAAGTTTTAGTATGCAAGTGACGTAGTCAGACATAACATAAACCCATCCTCTGGCTCTGTGGAGTGAGACTGGAAGTAGAGAGGCCAGTTTGGAAGATCTGCAGAAATCCAAAGGAATAGTGGGATTAGACGACAGAGGTAGGCTGGAAGATGTGAAGATCAGCTTGGTTATCAATGTGAGTGTTGGGGAGGGGGCTTCTAGAATGATGTAGGGACAGGGTGAACTCACAGAAATAGGAGGGAAGACGAACAATAACTGTTTTGGTGACAGTCTTGTGTCTGTGGTGCTGGGGCTGAGAAGAGGTCTTAGGCATTTTGAAGCCTTCAGCTTATATATCAATTAAACCATGTCTGAAGACAAGGTCAGTCTGAAGATACTAAACTACAAGAGGAGCGGCTTCCAGCAAGGCCTTCTCTTCCCTCCTAAAACAGTGTCTATAAGATGTCTGTGGCTTTGAGGATGTTTGTGCACAGATATTATGATGCATCAGTAATAGTTGGGTGTAGTAGTACCCACTCCCAACAGATACAGGAATGAATAGAGAGCTAAGAAAAGCTGGGCCCTGGTAGTTTGGAGGGCTGTGATGGAATCCTCCTGCCTTTGATTTCCCCTATACCTTCCCTATAGCACTATGCTGTCTTCCAGTGTACCTATGGGAAGATGGCGGCACTAAGTAGCTGGTTTTGATTGACTTAACTTCACACATTCATGTATGAGTGACGTGGAGTCAGAGAAAGGTCACATCACATTGGGCCTCTTTGATCACAGCCACCAGCTCACCAGTTTCTCATTTTGATGCTCAGGCCTAAAGCCGTTGGTTTTTACTCATGAACTGAAAAACGTGATGTGATATTTGATTTCTAATTAATGTTAAGTATTCATAAATATGTGATAACATTTTATGTGACTCATGTATTACATAAAATGTCCATTCCTACTCTTTCTAAAACTTGATGTTTTTTCTGCCAGTAGTCAGTTTCATCATACAAATATAGCTGATGTTACTGGTTAATAATCTGTTTAAAGGTGGGAATTGTGGCACATGCAGACAGGGCACAGAGGGCAGGGATGAAGAGGGATGATGGAGAGGAGGCCTATGCCTGGCTGAGGGCAGAAAGCGTTCAGGGTATTGTGTAGCCAGTTGAAAGAGCAGAGGGCCAGCCAGATGGAGAGGAAGCCAGAGTCCAGTCTCATGTTCAAATAGACAGGGCCAGCAAGAAGACATGGTTAGGCTTAAGACACTCAACAAGAGGAAGACCATGCCTGGGACTGGAAACCTAGCCCACCACTCAGTGCTGGTGAGGTCATGGTTATGGAGAAGAATCTACAACTTCTAATTTACCCAACCAGCATAGTCCCTACCAACAATCTATAAACATCTGTCTTTGTACCCACAGATAAGTGTAGTCTTCACCTCTCACCAAGGAAACTTCTCTTCAAAAGATAGAGACCATCACAGAAAATCACAACCAATCAAAATGCAGCATTGTGGAGCCCAGTCCCAGTGGTGACATCTACAGCACACTCCACACCTAAGGCTCAGGGAACATCGTAGAAGAGGGGGTGGAAAGAGTGTAAGAGTCAGAGGATCAGGAGTTTGCCGTGAGATGGTGTCTCCTTGTAACATTAGAAGCTCCACCTATAAAGTCTCACCAACATGATTGCCCAAACATGAGCCGAACAAGGATGACACCAATGGACATGCCAAAGTGGACAGCGGGTGGGGGGTTGGGGAGCCCACAAGGCACAACCCTACACAGAGAACTATAGGCACCTGAGAAGAGCTGGGAGTGGGATAGGTGGTCTTTCCCAGGGAAGATCACACTAATTGGTTTATCCAGTGCCAAATGGTCAGCCCCGAAAACACATACAAGTAGCATCATATGACTGAACAGTTTTTATATATATACATATATGCATGCAATAACAATTAGTGAAAAAAAATAGACCAAGAATCTGAAGGCGAAAGGGGAGAGGTATATGGGAGGGTCTGGAGAAAGGAAAGGGAAGGGAGAAATATAATTGTATTATAATCTCAAATAAACAAACAAAACAGAAGGCATGGGTAGGCCTCAGGTCTGCCATGCTCATTAGAAACAGGCCCTAACACAACACTGGCGTTCATCCAGGGCTTCCTCTCATCTTCGAAAGCTGGTGACTTTTGAAGTGTTTATGTGATTTCTACCTCCATGGTATTTCTTCCCTTTAAAGAGTCAGGCCCACTTCCTGCAGCTGTTGCAGAACAAGGGCAGAATGCATGCAGCAGTCAGAATGCATGCAGCAGTCTGTGTAGGAAGGAGGCACTGGCCTAAACCCCAGTGTCTGCACATAGTCCTTTTAGGCTCCCATAGAGGGAAGCATGGAAGACGGGCTCCTCTGCCCTCGCTGACAAAGGTCAGAAGGACCCTGTCTGTCAGCTCAGTTGTGCTGGGAAGCACTTAACTTGGTTCAGAAGTGGACACCAGCCTGGCCTCCAGTCATGGATCCTCGGACTGTGGGCAGTCGCCCACATTCTCTTAACACTTGTGGACACTGTCTTTCCTCTCGACTTTTGTTAGACTGTAAACTATAGCCTTTTCTGGAGAATTAGGACTTTAGCTACAAGTTTAATACAAATGAAATGTTTAAACTACCATGACAAAAATGATGGGAGAGGGCTAAAAACATGAGCACTCATCTCAAAGAACCAAACCCAGATTATCAACCTAAATACACATGCTGTGCACACAAACATATATACGCATGCTGTACACACAAGTGTCTAGATACATACCTGTGCACACAAACATGTATGCACATGCTGTACACACAAGTGTCTAGACACATACCTGTGCACACAAACATGTATACACATGCAGTACACACAAGTTTCTAGACACATGGTATGCACACAAACATGTATACACATGCTGTACACTCAAGTGTCTAGGCACATGGTATGCACACAAACATGTATACACATGCTGTACACACAAGTGTCTAGGCATATGCCTGTGCACACAAATGTATACAGATGCCTGTCCACATATTATGCTTTGTGCTTTCAAACATCTTGAGCAATTATAATGCCAGCTAGCTGATGGCTGCATTATATTATTGACCTATCAGCAAATTTTACAAATGCAATGTCGTGAGTTTTGCTTTAACTATCTCAGAAAATCTTGGTTTTACTTATTGAGGTATAAAGAATTTGGTTACTTTTTAAATCATCACAAAACAGAACAATTTGACAGCTTTTTTTTGCTTTGAATTTGGCCTCAAAATAATTCTAAAAAATCATTTTGGAGAGAACTTTATATGTAAACAGTATGTCTATCAGTCCTACCCTCCTCCCTATCTCCAACCCCAGTGTCCCTCCTCTTTCTCAAACTCAAAAGCAGCCTCCACTTTAATTATTACTGTTACGTGCATATTTATACATAAGTCATTGAGTTCAGTTAGTATTGTTTGCATGTACACGTCCAGGGTTGACCATTGGGA